AATAATCATTAACCACTCTCAAGTAATTGAGCCTTCCATTTCCCAACTGTTCTTCAATCTCCTTAATCATTTGCTGCTGTTGCTTAATTGTTACAGTCCTCATCATATTTTTTTTTGGTGAAAAATAATTTCTTTTTGGAAAGAAGACAGGAAATAGGACTTTGAACATCTCTTTCCAAAATACTCAAAAAATTCTAAATTCACAAAAACCGTGAATTACTCACGAACAACCGTGAATTATTCACGAATGAAAATGGTCAGAATCACTTGAAATCAGAAATGCGTGAAATGAACTAGAAAAACTACAGAATCAGTCTATAAAAAAATCAAATAGTGACAAACTGTCAACTAATTGCACATCCCTCTTCATAATTGCACTCTTTTAGACATCACCATTTTCATGAGGGCACTGTTGCTCAAAAAACGGATAATTCTGATTGGCCCGTTTGACCACCTCCCGCTCAACCGTGAATTATTCACGGTTATTTTAAAAAATTCACGGTTCTTCTCGCCATAGTGACTCCCCTTTGCCCTTTGGTTGCTCTTGATGCGTTTTTTACTGCGCAGGAGACATCTCTCATCCAGCACCAGCAGCGGCACGATCCAATCATAAAGCAGCTTTACAGATTATCGCAGCAAATTTTCGAGCACGTCGTAACATCTGAAATGGCCACGATAGATGACCTGTTGCATGTGTGCGACAACGCTAGCTTGAAGTTTGAAGAAGGCATCAATATTCTTCAAGGTTTGCCAGATTCTAACTCGAAGAAGCGGGCTATTGATTGCTTAAATGATGTATTAGAAGTAGTAAAGGCTTACAAATGCAAATACATGCCTTGTCCATCACCACCTGCAGCCCAAAACTGGTTATTCGTCGAAAGGTATCTGCAAAGCCTTGGAAATGAACCGATGAACTGGGAAGCCTGTCTTGTAGAAGGGCAGCAACAAGGCTATTTAAAAAACTATACTAAGTCTACTAGTTTGAAAGCCGTGTACTTGCGTTGGAAAAAGAATAAAAAGTAGACATATGTAACCAAAAAAAAATAAACGTGGTGCTTTCATTGAGTGTGTGTGTTTTTTTGGGGGTGAGGATCGGTCAGCATTTATTAATATAATGGTGGAACCGATATCGATATTCACTTTGGCGCACAGGCCCGTGAATTGATCTGAAAATAGGAGGAGATCATCCGTTTTATAAATTGACCTATCAAAGCCCTTTTATTTTTGCGTAACAATATCCCTTAAAAAAGAAGTAGCAAAAAAGAGGCGATTGCGAAGACTAACGTGCGTTCAAAAGCATGTATAGCGTTTTATATTTTTTTTAGATCTGAATTCTGTTGGTTAATTCACATGATGTTGATTTCAGATCACTGTCGCGATCAGAAACCATAAGATAGTCTACAGACGTTCGTAGAAATCTTGTGATTATTTTCCTGCAGCACCTCAAAGTACTTACAAGCCCACGATTTCACTTTTCAGAATGAATGCCTTTTCTTTCGAATTAAATTTAAAAGCAGTAACAACAATTGAACATTAACAGCAAAAAGTAGAAAGGATTGAAGGTTGTGGATCAAACAAACTAAAAACCACTTGGAATTAACTCAATTGTATGGATTAGTAAAGAGCTTCATTCGTATGAAGATGAATGTAGTTTATGTACTGTATTTTTATTAATTATTGACGTAAAATAAAAAAAATATTTACGTAAAAAGACGACAAAGAAAAATACGTTTGAATAAAACGACATCATGTCAAAAGAGAGAGAGATAATGGGTGTATGTAGAAAAAGAGAAAAAAAGTATGTTGGTATTAGAGCATATATCCTAATATTAGTTTTACTTACCACCAAGGTGCATTCTGGGGAGGGTAGCGATAACTACCCAGGAAAGAAAAAAAAAAAAGGAACAGAGGACAGAGAGGACCCAGGGCGTCAGAAGGGACTATTGGGGAACGTTCCAGATACACAAGCGAGTCAGAGCAAGGACCATGAGGACAGGCTAGTTTTGATTTGTGAATCTTTGAACACTCAGAAGGACATTTGATAACTGCTGTAAAGAAGCAAAAAAAGGACTTGATTAAAATGGGTTTCTATATGTTTTTCTTTCCAACAAGTTTCAGGATCGGATACCTAGGACAAAGAAATCATGTCAAATAGAAGCAATCTGCTTCGTGACCATTCAAGAATATGCATTGCCAAATATGACTACATGTTCTTCTGATTTTATGGAAAAACCGAATAAAGAATTTAAACTTTTACAAGGAGACTAAAGAGGGCGATTGTGATGTTGTGTGGTTATGGTTGCAATGGACAAAAATACAATGGGACTCTTTATGTTTCTTTTATTTGGAAGAAAATAAAGATGAAAGTGTTAAAACTGATAGTTACACATATTATGTAGAATTATAATTATTATTGGTCAGTTTAGGTTACTGAACTTTTGTTATTGATATGTAAACACTGCTTATTGACCCTTATTCAACATGGGATACGACAGCGATTTCTAATACTAGGTTAGTTTCAGCTCCAAGACAGCCTACCTGTTAATATTACTGTCAAATGGAATAGTGAGCCATATTCTTTTTGTATTTGTTATTACTCTGATAACATTACAACGGTTTCAATACGACAGCTCAATTTGGAAATACAGTATATCCATGGATGTCAAGGCTGATACTACGAAAATATTCTTGGTAACGGCGAATTTACATTTCATACAACATGAATTTTGTTCTCACCATTGGGTGCATTTATTTTCGATCATAGGCGGATTTACTTTCCAGAAAGACTGTATAACATAAATTAGAGGTAGGGAGACATAAGGATTAAATTATAGCAATCCAGCAGTATTGGAATGAAGTGGAAAATGCGTCGAATCAAAGGGTGATACCAACAGATGAACAAGGAGAATAAAGAAAAGGTATGTAGAGCTTTGTTTATTATTTTCTTTTCACAAGAGATTTATTTAGATGCTCTTATGGATCTTAATTGACAGTTATGTTTATTTAGAAGTCAATAAATTGTGATATAAATGTCGATAAGCAGTTAGAAAAGGATGGATATAGGCTTTTTACAGGTAAATGAGGTTAAAAGAAAAAGGATGAAGGAAATGGAATTAGGAAAAAAGAGGATTCAGATTAAAGAAGGAAAGGAAAGGAGTAATGAAGATACCTTTACTATTGTACATTCACAAAAAGGCGCTGTAATGTTTATATTGAAAAGATATAACAAATAAAAAGAAAACAGACGAGGTTTATACTGAAAGTGAAAGGGAAATGACATGGTTATTTGGAATTACGGTGTAGACAATGACAAAAGAAAAAACACAATGGTTTGTTTGGTAAAGATATTAAAAGAGAGAGATAGAGAGAAGGGGGCTTAAAAGAACGTAAAGATGGCTCAAGTAGCTTATCTGGTACTTTTATGAACATTGTTGTCATGGTATAATTGTGTTTATTCATTTGCTTCATTGCGGTAGCATCGTACTCTTTTCCTTATAGTTAAAGCTTACACCTGTATTAAATATAAAAAGAAGCAATAGAAGACATAAAATGATATTCCATAAAAGAACTTGTTTCAATTTTTTTCTTTAGTATACACTACACGCACGAGGAAATCCACGAGAGGGTTAATGTTACAAACGCTACGTGTGATGTCATCAACGAAACGTTTCAGTACGTAGTGCCACGTTAAGCCTGCTAAGGAACAGATATTTTTCCATGCTTCTTGGTTATGAATAATGCATCTATTCATAAGCAAGCTGATATCAAAGAACTCATTGAGAAAAGAGACTATATATGCATATATTTATCTCATTCAATAGAGTGGAAGCTCATTGAGCAGTTTTAATTAATTACTGAAAGCAAACTTAAAAGATATCAGGAAAGGCTGCAGCCCCGTACTACTAAAGCTTGCAGTCAGGCTCTAAAAGGTCATCTTTATGGTTTCATTAAACATTCTGTATCATGTTCAAATGATTGTTTCAATAAAAAAGCTATACAGCCATCTTTTTATATGTATAAGTGGTTATAGTTTTAGTCTGTGAAAATTTGATATGGAAACATTGTAACAAAAAAAAAGAAGAAAAGATTACATCAATACAAACGCAAACGTGTGTGTAAGTATGCATGTATAAAAAAAAAGAAGAGAAGGTATGTGTATTGTATTTATACAAGATCAATAGCTCTATCAATTTCTTCTGACTGAATTATTTGATAATCTAGAGAACCAAAACGCACAATTCTCTTGGTTCGAATTAATTTTTTCAATTCATCTATCCAAAACACAGTACTGGTCACTAATAATACTTTGGTAAGTTCGTGCAATGTTAGAGGCTCTGTTTGGAAGATGGATTGAAAAAACGGAATATAGACAACTGCCATTTGTGCAATAATAGATCCTCCAACTGCAATGTTGAACATTTTGTTAGAAAAGAAACCAATGTTGAATATAGATTGTTTTTCTGATCTGCAAGCAAGCGCATTGAACATATCAAAGAAAACAAATGTAGTAAATGTCTAGGTAATAGTTAATAAAACTGTGTTTAATAAAATTAGTGCTATCGTTTCATTACCATGGTTGCATCCTTGTTAGTAACAACACCATCAGCCATTTCAGATATATAGACAAACATGGTTCCCAAGGTAACGATAATGGCAGTAGAAAAAACGCGAATAATCAATGGTTTTGTCAGAATAGTAGCATTCCGGCTTCGAGGTGGCTTCTTCATTATTTCGGGATCTACAGGTTCAACGCCCAAGGATTGAGCAGGTGGACCATCCATGATGATATCTTTGTAACAGATAAAAGATGAGTATATACAATTTACGTACGAAAGTATTACGTACTTATCCATAATATTTGCATTGCATTCAACGGTGTCTTTAAGCCAAACAAGGTAGAGATAGCAATCAATGAAAGAGCAGATATACTCGTACTTAGCTGAAAGGTTAAAAAGTTTTGAATGTTGTAAAATATAGATTTGCCTTCTTCAATAGCATGCAAAATAGTAGAAAAGTCATCATCCACTAATATCATATCGGCAGCTTCCTTTGATACATCAGTTCCACTTTGGCCCATAGAGATACCTATGTCAGCCATTTTAAGGGCTGGAGCATCATTAACGCCATCACCTGTCATAGCTACCACAGCCCCTGTTTCTTGAAACGCGCGCACGATGGCCAATTTATGCTTGGGGGTAGTACGGGCAAAGACAGAAATTGACTGTATAACCTCTTGAAGCTGTCGCTCAGACATAGCCTCAATATCGTGGCCTGTTAAGCAACTCCTCTTGGCACTGGTTGGAATGCCTAAACGACGTGCAATGGACATGGCGGTGCCTTCAGAGTCGCCTGTGATCATAACAACCTTCACACCACCTTGTACAAGCTTTTTGATAGCATCACCTACACCCGGTCGAGGCGGATCATGAACAGCGATAAAGCCAGTATAGCACAAACTACTCTCACTCTCTCCAAAGGCTGTGCTGAGGACACGAAGGCCATGAGAGCTCATTGCAGAAACGTGTTGAGCAACGACTTGTTTAAGTGTTGGAGTCAGTGGGTGCATTCGTCCGTCTGAAGTGTAATATGTCGTGCATTTATCCACCACAACCTCTGTTGCACCTTTGACATAGATGTAGTTCCTGGCAAACGAATTATCTTTTTCACGACAAATGACTGACATGTATTTAGTATCCGATGTAAATGGCGTTTCTGCGATTCGTTCGTAAAGCTATAATGATATACTAAGCATTCTGTACACAGACACACAAATCTTCATTTATCTTACCGTACGCTCATCTTTCATTCCACTACGAATGACTACATCCAATAAGGCCATCTCTGTTGGTTGACCATACAGTTTCCCTGATTCACCTATTTGAGCATTATTGCACAAATTGCCTACGTGATATTTTTGTTTTTACGGTAAATTGTACTGTCAGACATATGGTTGCTTAATGAAACTATTACCGATTTTCAAAGTCTGTCGTAAAGCTTCTGTTATCGTTGTTGGTGTCTTATATTCGTAATCAAACGTTGCTTCATGTTCAACTGTGAATACCTTGGTGACTGTCATTTGATTCAACGTCAAGGTGCCTGTTTTATCAGCACAAACAACATTGACAGATCCCAGCGTTTCGACAGATGGAAGCTGTTTGACAATAGCTTTTCGGCTGGCCATGCGAAGAACACCCAAGGCTAAAGTAACTGTGACAACAATAGGCAAGCCTTCTGGGATAGCAGCAACCGCGAGGCTGACACCAATCGTAAACATATCTAACCAACTACGTTTCTGAATGAGACCAATAAGTACAATGACACCAATGACACCAAAAGAAAACATGGATAGCTGTTTTCCAAGATCATTCATGCTAATTTGTAATGGAGTTTTTCTGATTTCAACCTCTTGCATCAGTTCAAATACATGACCAAACTCTGTATTTTTCCCTGTTGCAACTACAACGCCCTCTCCATGTCCTGTAAGAAGAATTAGATATCATTATAATTTAAAGCATGCTAGCAGTTTTACCTTGGCGTACTAGTGTGCCCATGAAGGCAATATTTTCCCTTTCATTTAGTGCGAGTTCTCCGTAGTTGGTGGTTGCAATAGCCTCAGATATTTTTCTCCTAGGCTTGTTCTCACCTGTCAAGTTTGACTCATCAATCTCTAATCCCGTACACTAAAATATATTAATTTCTCTGTTTTATGATGAATGCACACTTTACTTTGGTTATTCTACAATCTGCAGGAATTCGATCACCCACGCCAAAGCGCACAACGTCTCCTGGAACCAAGTCATTTGCCAATACATCCGATACATGTCCATCCCTATTGTCAAAAAGTCAGCATAAAGGAGAGAATTCAGCTATTGTACCTGTACCTTACTAAGTGACAATGGTGAGGCACAAGCTTATTTAATGCTTCCAGTGACTTTTCGGAGCGGTATTCTTGAATAAAGGCGACTAAAAGATTTGATAAATACAGTTTCTGTGTATATTAGGAGTAAAGCAATACCTGTTACTACAATGATAATCGCCTAAAAAGAAATATTTAGAATAAAAGTAAAGGTTTTACGGTTTTGCTTTACCGCACTAATACTGATAGCATCATCAAATTGGCCCATAAGTACAGAGATACAAGCAGAGCCAAGCAGTAAGAGAATCATGGGATCCTTGAAAGAATCAATAAATTTCGAAAACAAACTTTCGTCTTCGTCTGTTTCGAGTTCGTTTGTGCCATATAAAGCTCTTAAACTCGGAACATCAACCAGATGTAAGCCTTTAACAGGGTCAGTGTTGAACTCATTTGCAACTTGCTCAACAGATTGACGAGCAGCTTTAGCAGATGGAGTTGTAGTTGTACCCACAGGCAAAGAAGATGTCATTCAACGAGATGAAGAAGAAAAGCAATAATTCGGACTTGAATTACCTTCAAGTCAAAATTGGCTTGTCGCTTTTCGGAATTTGGACTGTCACTTTTCTGTCAACCATGGAAAGCAAGAGGCGAGGGGGGCTCTCTAATGAAAGTATTGTCGGTTGCGCCTTTTGGTGCATCTGGCGTGCACACTGAATGTTTATTTTCAATGGACATCCTTTTATCCCATCCAAGATTTTTCGGGCTATCATTGGTTGTCTGGAATCCTTCAAGCATTAATTTATTTTATATTTGTTAATTTTCTTTAGTAGTTCTGTCTTTCAATAGTCCACCACTGATTTCAAGTGGCTATTTTATTTATTTAAAAAAAAAAAATAAGTCTTAGAAATAATAATCCTTCTTTCTTTTTTTACAAGACTCGAAAAGGAAGCTACCAAAGTAATTCTTCTTTTTATTTCAGTTAATTAGACTGAAGCAAGAGTGGTAACTATATCGGTCAAAGTGATGACAGCTTTAAGTTGACCTGTGTTTGGATCAAGACACCATAACTTGTTTGTATTTCGTAGAATAAATGCTGATAGTAACTGAGATAAAGTAAAATTGAAATGACAAGTCATTGGAGTGGGCAAAGATCCATGCGATTCTTTTAAATACATAATCACTGGCTTCCTTAATGCTGATAACCTTTCTCTGTTTAATCCTCGTAGGTCATTCGAGCTTAATTCAGCAATGAATTCTTCGGTATCATCGATGATAGGTAATGAAGTGACTCTACTGTCAACTCCAAGCTTTAAAAAGGCTTCAATGGCTGTCGTTTTATAACTTATCATTGATTTGATCTCATTATATTTTATAGATTCTACTGTCAAATCCAAAACATTCGATCCAATTTTATGATTTTCTAGTTGTAAATACTGAATAAGGTCCATTTGAGACAACAATACTAGTTTAGAGTCATAATCTACCAATGCTCTATGTTCAATGGTAAATAATCCAATCAATTTATCTATCAATTCACTAGATTTCAATATAGTCAAGTGTTCACCAAAATGGATTGCTTCTTTCAAGGGGATCAATAACAGTTCTTCTTTAATTTCAATTTGAGAGTTGATATCTTCTGTAATCTAATATTATATGGTTATTGTATTGGCCATGAGCTGTCATTTCTCCCTTACTTGACTGCATATGAGTCTAAGCAAATCTAAGGCAGAGACAATCATTATGTACTTTTTTTCATTTTGGTTAAGCTCATAAATGGGTACAGACTTGATATCTTCTGCTAATAACAAGTCTAGTGCTTCTTCAATAGTTGCTGTTGCGGGCAGGTCAATCAAATCTCTTTGCTGTTCAATTGGCTTGACTTTATCAATCAAGTTACCAATCGTGCTTGATTGAATAAATTGCTTAAACACATCTGTCATTAATAATAAAACCAGAGAGA